AAATTCAAAAAGGACTTGGATCCATCGTGTGATCGCTGTAAACAATCTCCTGCCACACTTCTGCACACATTCTGGTCCTGTCCAAAGYTACATGGATACTGGCAAGGCATCTTTGATACCTTTTCAGATACCTTTTGATACCTTTTTGTTTGTGGTTTGTTAAAAATAATTAAAAAAAAACTTTGACAAAAAAAAAATTCAGCATCACAATCACATCATTATACATACAGTATATACATTTCTGTTCCCTTGCTTGTGATTTATTTTTTAATTTGGTCCCATAAACCTGTTTTATTAAATCTGACATTTACATCAAGTGATTATGTTCAATAGAGGAAAATATAATAATCTTTTCATATTTTTAATGAATAAAGTTAGTTTTTTTCTGGTGAAATCCTCTGGTGAATTAGAGTTCTGATTATTATCTCATTTTAAGACAAAGTTCTTACAGAATAATCTGAAACCAATGAGGATGACTGTAAAACAAACAGGATTTATTGCAGTCTTTTCCCTGGAGGCTGGCTTAGGGTAACAATGAAAGGTTTATAACTTGAAAGGGGCGGGGCTTAAACACAACCTCAGGATAGTCAGCGCTGACGATAATGATAACGTGTGAAGAAAAAACATTCATTTATCCACTCTCCATGATCGACTCCACATACAGCTGACTGACTGAACCACGTCAGAGTCACACAGGTGACTCAGGTGTGTGCTCACCTGCTGTGGTGGAACATGTTGGACAGCTGAAAGCAGTGAGTGGCGAGAGGCTGAGATGGAAGATTCAGAGCTGGAGGGTTCATGTTCATGCTGAGAGCTGGATTCATGGCAGCTGAAACAAACAGTCACCTGTCAGAGGGGTCACACCTTTACCTGCAGACACCTAAAGGTTATTTTAAACATGATGAGTTACCTGAAACAGCAGCCAGAGCTCCAATAGCAATCGCTCCACTCATCTGCAGAGCCTGCTGAGCAGAAGGAGGGATCTGCACACCTGTACCTGAAAAATACACAGGTATGATGGCAGGTGACTGTGATGTCATCAGGTGTAAATGGAGGCGTGGCCTCACCTTCAGGTATCTGAGAAGGCACAGACAGCTGCAGCCTGCCGGTGGTACCTGGCTCCACACCTGTCAGGTCCAGCTCGTCGCTCAGGAAGGAGGAAGCTGTAGAGGCCTCATTGCGCTCGGTCACATGACCCACCTTCATGGGCCGACCTGCCAACTCAAAACCATTCAGCTGCTCCAGAGCCTTCTTAGCTGACTCTGCATCTGCAAACTGACACCACCACAGGTGGCAACAGGTGAGTGACAGGTGTCATGTGCTCTCTGCTATAGGAGGGTGTAACGTGTCACATGGCTCAGATGATTGATCACACTGATGATGAGGAGGAGGAACTCACAGTGATGAAGCCGTAGCCTTTAGACAAACCATTGTCGCTGTCCATCATCAGCTGGATGTTCTCCACCTGAACCAAAAGAATCAGCTGTCAGGCACCGCCCACACCTGGACAACCCTGCGTGTGTGTACAGGTGTGTGTGTGTGGTACCCGTCCAAAGGGCTCAAAGATCCCTCGCAGCATGTCCCTGGTGATGTTGAAGTGCAGTGAGCCCACGTACAGCCTCCTGGGTCCACTCGTTACCTTCTGCACAGTGCTGGCTGCTGCCGCCGCCGCCGCCGCCGCCGCTGCTGCAGCACGGTTCTTCTCTGCCTGAAGAGACACACACATACACACACACACACACACGTTCTTCTATATCTATAAGAAAGAAACAACCCTACAGGGCCCTGTGTGAAAGGTGCAGGCCCTTCACCCATGGGCCGTGGCTTGTGGGCCCTGAGCGCCACCTTGAGGGCCTCAAAAGAACAACAATCTTTAACTGTGGGCTGCAGAGGGCCACAGGACCACATTGATTTTGAATCAGAATCAGTTTTATAGCCATTGTCAGTGAATACACAGACTAGGAAGTTGCAGTTAAGAACACCCATTCTGATTAAACACAAACATTGGGGAGAACGGATGTTCAGGTCTTTAACAGGGTTGTGCTACCTTTTGCAGCTTGGAACACACACAACAGGAAAGATGTGTTTAAAGAAAGATGCTCCGATCCTATGTTTACAC